ACCTTATATGTTGGGCTCTGGGTGATCCGGGCATCCAGGTTTCCTGTAAAGAGAGTCACAGACCTGATGTTGTCATTCTAAGACAAAGACTTGGGCTGAGGTCTTGGGAATCCAGGGCAGGAAGCCCACCTGTACTCACCTGCCCACAAGAGACAAAGAGCCATCCAGAAGAAGCTGGTGACCATTTCAGTCATGTGCAGAATCTTATGTCTTCCTATTCTGTCTCAAAGAAATAGACTCAGTGATGTCTGAGCTGTAGAGCTAACTTGCCACACCTCTCCCTCACATCCCTCCTCCCCCCTCCCAGAAACAAATCAATGATCCTCTCAGTTACAGGAACCACATGATCCCTAGGAAGTTTTCAAAGCCACAAGGTCAGAATCATTGGTATCTGAAGACTTGTTTTTTGTCTCACAATTCACCGACTTATGGGATGCCTGCCTTCCTGCTCAGGTCCTTGCGTGCTCATGGGTCAGAGTTCTCCCTTGGTTTCATCTGAGGCCACAGAAGACTGGACCACCTGAGTGCCCCTGACTGTGCCTTTTGTGAAAAAGACAGAAGGCTTGTTAGCCAGGTGGGTGAGATATTCAACAGTGGTACAGATTTGAAGAATCACAGGGAAATGTTCTGTCTCCATTCAGAGGTCTTGCACCCCTACAGAGTGGGAGAATATTGATTGAATAATAAGTGTGCTACAGTGACAAGCTAGTAACTAGTCAATATCAGTTACAGCTGCTATTTTTTATACAGACCATTTCTCAGTGTGAGGGTAACCTACTTCTGTGACTACATATCTTGATGTCATCTTGCTGATCAACTATAATCACACAACAGTGAGAAAGGACATGGAGTCATAAATCAGAGACAGGGAGGAGGTTGATGGTTATTGCATATAAAGGCTTGCAGCTTGGGGCCTGGCTAACCCAGGAAAGACCATTACATCTTATCTAGGACTTATCCTGTTCCAGGGAACCAAGAGCCAGAAAGCAAAGCAGCCCACTCCCTGAGGCAGAATCAGTGAGAAAAAAAAAAAAGAGAAAAAAAAAAGAGTTTTTCCGCTAGGACTCACATTGTTTGGGTTAGAGTACATGGATCCCAGAGATCTGAGGTCTGTTCTCACAATAAGGTATGACCAAACTATACTGTTAGTATTCTCAATAATACCCTCATTTCTTTACATATATAAGCATTCATTAGTAATAGTTTCTTTGTAAAGTATTTTTAATCAAATTTGATATTTCAGAAAACATGCACCTCATCTCCAAGCTATTTTTTGGTGTGTGTTTTTGCATTGGTGTCTCCCATGCACCCGGAGTAGTGCCTATTCATGTTAAATAGTGAAGGGAGGTTTGCTATGTGGACAATGAAGAATAATGTCAGGCCTTCTCATGTACACAGGACCTTTAGAAGACATCTACAAAAAATGTTATTCTCTTTTTCAAAATGCAACCTGAATCAGCCCTGGCTGGTTTGTCTTAGTGGATAAAGCAAGGTGCTGGGGTAAATTCTGGTCGAGGGCATGTACCTCAGTTGCAGGTTGGATCACCGGCCCAGGTTGGGGCATGTGCAGGATGCAATCAATCAATGTGTCTCTCTCTCACATCAATATTTCTTTCGGTCCTCCCGTGTGTCCCTCCTCACCGCCTTTCACTCTTTCTAAAAATCAATGCAAAAATTTCCTTAAGTGAGGATTAACCAAAAAAAGCCCTCTAAATTTTCATAGCTTTTATCCCACAAATCTCAAACTACTCTGTACTTGTATTTAATTAGTTTTTGTTGAATGAATGATGAAAGGAATGAATGGTTATACGAGTCCAGGCAGACTCCACTTCTGTAAAGATAACCCAGTCTTGTCAGTTCAGAGCTTGTGAACCATGTGAGTCTGTTGAGAATTCAAAATTAATCAAGATAAATGGGGAAGAGACTCATTCCTATAAGTTATTATAAGACTTTTGTTTTTATTAGGCTTTTTAAATGAATAGATGGCAGAATGGGTGAAATAAAAATGATTGTCACTTCCTTCTGTATTATCACCATGTAGGCTCGCCCCTCAAGGCACAGTCTGAGATGAGTACTTAGTAGTAGGTTCAAGTAGTTTATTTTGAAGATAATCTCAAGAAGCAAGAGAAAGAGAACAGGGAAGAAGAAATAGTGAAGGAGAAATCTAGGATAAGGTACAATATTGCAGTTATGCAGGCACATTGGGAGATGGATTTATGGATTTTGTTGGAACTGCAGAGAAGCACACAGACCATCCCCTGAATTGTCCTCCTGGATACAGAGGCTGAGCTTCTATCCCTGGCTCCTTTCACTCTAAGGGCATTAGCACTTATGCAGGTCTGCTGCCCTGCTGTGAGCCCGTGTGGGCTCCTATGACAGAGAGGAGGCCAGAGCAGAAAGCAGAGGGGCTCCCAGCCTGCAGGTGAGGAGATGTTGTCAGAACCAGGTAAACGCACACAAACTTGCATGAAATTGTTCACTGCAGCTGAGGCTAATACCAGACGTGGGCCGGGAATGGATGGATGGCACTGGAGGTCCCACTATGATGGTCTCTCTTCACACAAAACCATCCCTTCCATCGGCTCTTCTGTGTGATCACCAATCACTCTGAAGCCACACCTTTCTAGAAGCACCACACCTTTTTGTACACCAGACTTAACATCAAACAGGAAGTGCTGCTTTGGGTCCCATTTTTATTTTCCCTTAAAAGTCACTTCTCTATAGTTAATTTCACCCAATAAATGATCAGACAACAGTATTAGCATTTCAGAGGATTTTCTGTCTGAACCATAGATAAGTCAGGCAAAAGTAGCCCATGGATGCCTTTTATCCCAGAATTGCACATCTATCTATCTATCTATCTATCTATCTATCTATCTATCTATCTATCTATGCCTAAGCAATCATCCACCATCCGGCTATCCAACTGGTAGCTATAATGTGCAATGACCACCATGGGGCAGATGCTCAATGAAGGAGCTGCTGAGCTATGGTAACTTGGCAGCTGCAATTCTCGGGTGACGCACCAGGAACTAGAGAGGAGGGAGCCTGATTCCAGGATGCATCACCCGAGAACTGCCCTTTCACAATCTAGAACCCCTCGGGGGATGTTGGAGAGTCCGTTTTGGCCTGATCCCCATAGGCCAGGCCTAGGAACTCCACCTGTGCCTGAGTCTGTACACCAGGCGTCTAATAATAAATAATTGTGCTAGACTAGAGATTTATCACAGTTTATAGAGAAAAAAAATTAATTGCGCCTATATTCTTTATTAAACAATTTGTTTTATCTGCTTGTGCAAATCTCTGCATGACACACATTATTTGCTCCAGATTACAAATACAAATATTCAGACAAATATTTTCTGAGTCACCATCCCAAGGCTGATCAGATATGAACATACAGGTCTGGGAAGCTGAGTTTCTTCCCTCTTCAGCAGGTCCCCTCCCAGGTGAGAGCTGATATGCAAATCATTTGTGTTAGAGACTACATTTCTGAAAGGGACTTTGGGTCCATGCTCCATTTTGAAGATGCCTCTCTCTACCAAATGCAGAAGGGCGGGGTGATTGAAAGCATGAGTGGAAGTCAGTATGGCCCGTGTTTTAATCCCTGTTCCAATATTTGTTAGCTGTACCTCCTTTAGCAAATTATCCAGTGTTTTCACCTCTAATCTGGATAATTTGTGCTACCTCACAGAAAATGAGCAATGAATAAGGTGATTGGATTAAATGCACAAAATGAATAGAATTAAAGCCATCTGCATTCATCAATAAACTTGTATCCCAGTCTGTAAATATCTACAGCATTCATTTAAAAGCTGTAATGCTTAGCTGTTTTCTGCAGTTCCTGATCTGGGCAGACGCAGTAGTTCCAGATGTTCTGATGGAAAGTTTGGGCAAGCTGAGACCCTCTTTCCTCCACACCTTCAAGTGGTTTAGAAACAGTGATTCCCTGCAGTAACACCCAGAATCCTGCCTGAAATTCCTAGAGGGCTTCTGTTTTCTTGATTAGTCTTCAGCTAGTCTGGAAATCCCTAGACCCTTAGCTCCTTTATTGGAGGGAACATCATGGTCTCGCTCTGTGTAAACTAGGACAGGACAGACATGTTCTCTGGCTTGAAGTTCTGTATCCTAGAACTTGGAAGGCAATCAGCTGTGTAACCACACATGATGGGTGACCTCTGCATACTTGCTCTGATGCTCTTGAAATGGCAGAGACAGGGTTCTCCTATATTTTATTTTTATAAAATTTATTTTTATTGTTGAAAGTATTATAGATGTCTTCCTTTTGTGCCCCCCCCCCCACACACACACAGTTGACCCCCTTCACCCCATTTTGGCCTCTGTCCAGAACTTCACTACACTATTGTATTATGCATATATGCATATTAGTTCTTTGGTTAACATTTTTCCTTTCCACCCTCCCCCCTTCCTTCAGGTTCGTCATTCTGTTCCATGATTCCATGTCTCTGGATCTATTTTGTTCATTAGATTCCATATGTAAGTGAGATCACGTGATATTTGTCTTTCTCTGACTGAATTACTTAGCTTAGTGTAATACTATCCAGGTCCCTCCTTGCTGTCTCAATGGACAAGAGATACTTCTTTTGAATAGTTGCATAGTATTCCATTAACTACAGCACAAGCAGCACCATGGAATTCTGGGGATATGCTGACTTTCAAGGCCTGGAGATGTACGGTTGACATATGTGAAGTATTTGGGACATCGAGGAGCTGCAACATCTTGGCTATAAAAAATATATGGAGCATTTTATCTTCTGTAAAATGGACACACAATGTCTACTATGCATTAGCACACACGGCATGGACACCTACTCTATCACAGCAGGAGTTCCTGCCATGTGCTAGGAATTGCCAGGTCCTAGAAGAGCTGGGTGGATACTCAGGAAAGCTCTGGCTGAGCTCAGCAGGGCAGGGAGAGTCTTAGAAAAGAACTAGAAGCTCTGGAATAAGCTAAGGCTCCTTCCCTTCCTGTGACATTCTCATCTGGGACAAGGAGGTTTGAGTACAGAAAGCCATTGATCCTGCAGGGCTGTGTCTAAGCTGCTGGCACAGAGATACACAGCTGAGTCTCCCAGCTGCAAGGTGCTAATGGCCAGCTCAGAGCTGTAGTTATCAAACTGTTTTCCTGAGAACCGATCAGGGATGTTTCCTTTCTGGCTCTCCTCCTTTTCATAAAAACTAATGAGGAACTCGGGGCCCTGTCCCAGAGCTTGCTGGTACCAGTATACAGTCTTGTGTCCAGAGATAGGATGGCACTTCAGAACAGCCTTCCCCTCATGACTTTTGATTAGGTGTCTTGGGGACTGGGTAACTCCAGCAGCCACAGAACCTGTAAAGAAAGCAGAAGCTGGAGACCAGCACAGAAAGGACATGGACAGGCCAGTGACAGTTAAGAACTTTAGGTTCAAAGGATATCCCACCTGAACTCAGGACTCACCTGCCCCCAGAAGACAGAGGACCATGCAGCAGAGGACCTGAGGGCCCCTGGAAGATCGATATAGGACAAGACTGGCCATCTCCCAGCTCTGGGCTCTGATGTTTGGGGTGAGAGAGCAGAGGCTTTGCCCTCCCTTTGCTCTGCTTGGAGGACCTGCCTGTGATGTCACTGTTCTGTCACTGTCCTTGTAGGCTCCACAGGCACCTTGCACCTCTTGGACAGGCTCATGTTCCAGGCATTCCTCATTCTGTCCATCTGTGTTGCTGGATGTGCTGAGCTGTCCAGGTAGGGTTTGGGGTCTGTGGTCATCCCCACAGCTTCTCTGTCCTAGAAGCAGGGCTCCTTGTTCTACACCTGACTTGAATTATCCAGGCTGCCCCACAGAAAGAAGCTCCCTCACAGTCTCCACCAAATGTAGTCTCCAAGAGAAGCCTTACCTCCAGACAAGGCCAAGCTCGTGATTTTCTGCTGTGACCAACACACCTGCACAGCAGTTAATGTGAGAAGATATGATCAGCAAGCCTCTGATTCATCAGATAATCCCCCTGATGTAGGGGCCAAGCCAAGACTCTCTCCCTTAACCCTCCCTCTCGCACAAGGCCCCATCAGCAGCTCACTCAGTGGATACACAGCGCCCCCACGCGGCCACTTGTGCCCACGCTGGCTGGGTTCTGGTTGAATTAGGCCTCCGAATTGTCCAGGACCCTGCACAGCTTCGGATGATGTGATGTTTGCCTGTCTCAAGTTCACTCTTTCCAGGTGATAATGAGGAAGGCGTGATGCATATTTCCAAAAAGGGAATAAAATTCTTAGTATCATCAATGAGTGTTCTTGGAAGGAGTACACCATGCATTTGCTGCCCTTGGAAGGGGGGGCAGAGGGACCTTGGGCAAAGTGCTGTCTTTAACTGAAGGTAATTCTTGGGCAGGGTAAACCATGGAGTTCAATCTGCCAAAAATGCTCCTTCATGGCTGAAAATAAACCTGCTATGAAGATGGAATTGCCTACTTATAGATCATTTTTTTTGGTGGTGGTGGGGGATCACTGATTTTAATTTTTTTAATTGAATTACTCACCTTAAAAAACTATTGATTTGCAGAAATTATTTATATTTTTATGCATGCCCTTCCTCAGATATGTTTTTATTTCTTGATTTCTTTTGATGAACAGGATTTTAAAATATTTGTAAAGAAAGGTGTGCTTTTTAAAGATTAGGATATTTTTGTCCTCTCTAAGACATCTCTGCTTCTCCAAGGACATGAAAAGAAATTGCTCTGCTTTTTTTTCAGGAGCTTTATATGTTATTGTGAATACTGACCCAACTCATACTCAAGTTCGCAAAATCAGCAAAAGTCTTTGTAAATATTTCCAGTTTTCTGTCCCAGCTGCTCAGCTCTGCCACAGCTGTGCCAAAGCAGCCAGAGACACTGTGGACGTGAGGGAGTGAGGCTGCGTGCCAATAAACTTTCTGTATCTATACCAAAATCTGAATTTTACAGAAATTTTGTATGTCGCAAATACTGGTTTTTAATCTTTTTCAACCACTTAAAAATATAAATACCATTGGTTAGCTTCTGGGCCCTATAAGATGGAGTGAGGTAAGGATTAAAATTATTTTCCCATATGCACCACTGATTATTTTTCCAGCACCATTATTAAATGACTATTTCACTCCTTTTGTGCTACTTTCAGTGTTTGATCTAGGGATTACAATACGCATGTTTAACTTACCATAGTGTACCTGCAAAAATGTCTATTAACCATAAACTGCTTCATACATGCCCTTCATTAGGGAAAGGACTTTTTCTAATTACTTCCAATTTACTGAGTTTTTATCAGGAATTGCTGTTGGCTTTTATCAGATGTTTTTAAGAATCTGTAGAGATGGTCATAAGATTTTTCTTTTTTTTAGTATTTGAGTACATTGACATATTTTTGAATGTTGAACTAACTGCACTTTCCTGAGGTAAGCCCCACTTGGTCATGATGTGTTACCCTCTATAGATGTCATTGCATTTTGATATACTGGAATTTTAAAAGGATTTTTATTCTATGTTCATGAGGGATATTGGTCTATAGGTTTTTGTTTTCGTAATTCCTTGGTCTCATTTGAGTACCATAGTAGTGCTGACTGGCCTCAGAATGAGTACGGAATTATTTCTGAATTTTCAGGTTCCTTAGTAGATACTTCTTTAGTGGCATCCTACCAATTTTGATATATTTTCATTAAGTTAAAATCCCTTTATAATTTCTATTTTGATTTGTTCTTAGCCTCATGGGTTATTTAGAACATTGTTATTTCCTTTACAAATTTTAGAATTTTTCCAGAACTCTTTCTGTTATTGATATCTAATTTAGTTCCTCTATGGTGAGAGAACATGCTTTGTATTACTTGAATTCTGTTAAATGTATTGATACTTATTTTATACTCAAAGTCTATAGCATCCTAGTCCATGGTCCATGTACATTTGATAGAACGTGTATTCTGCTGCTATTGGGTGAACTGTAAATATCTGTTAGGTTGAGGTGATCATTAACGTTGTTTTTCTCTTCTATATCTTCACTGATTTTATTGCGGAGTGGTCATGATGTTCAATCAACTACTGACAAGTGGCCCAAGCTGGATTGGCTCAGTGGATAGCATATTGCCCTGAGAACTACAGGGTCCTGGGTTTGATTCCAGTTAAGGGCATGTACCTCAGTTGCAGGCTCTATCCCTGGCATCCAGTATGGGTGTGTGCGGAAAACAACTAAGAGATGTGTCTCTCTCACATCAACGTTTCTCTCTCTTTCTGTCTCTTCCATTCTTTCTTTGGAAAAAAAATTACTGCCAGGTGTTGAAATGTCTGACTGTAATTGTGAATTTGTCTTTTTCTCTTTGTTTTTACTCCTGTATTTTGAAACTTTTTAGATGCATAAATATATATGGTTGCTATCTCTTCTTGACCAATTGACCCTTTTATCATATTCTATTGCTCTGAAATTTACTTTGTCTGATATTAATATTGCTGCTCCAGCTTTCTTGTGATTAGTGTCAGCATGGTATATCTTTTCCATTTTATCTTCTTAGTTTTGTGATTATACTGCCTTTCTGATGGGCAGCATACAATTGGTTTCTCCCTTTTTTTACTCAAAATCACAATCTATGCTTTTTATTTGAGGCATTGAAACTATTTTGACTTGATATGACTATTGATCTAGTTAATTAGTATCTATCACAATCTTGTTATTTATTGTATTAGCCCCATCTTTTGCTTGTTCAGTTTATGTCTTTTTGTGTATTAATTGAGCAATTAAATAATTCCATGTTTATGAGGGATATTGGTGTATTAACTATAAGTATGCTTATTATTTTAATGGTGGCTTTCGGGTTTGCAATATAGCTTTCTGCCTTAACACAGTCTACCTTCATGTGCTATTATACCACCTGACATAAATTAGGAAAATTTCACAATGGTAAGCTATTTATCCATGTAGATGCTCCCTGTCATGCTCTTATCATCACACATTTTACTTTTACATACAGTAGTCCCCCTTACCTGCAGTTTCACTTACTATAGTTTCAGTCACCTGCATTCAAGTACAATCCAAAGTTATTAAATGGTAAATTACAGAAATAAACAATTCCTAAGTTTTAAATTGCACACTAATCTGATAAGCCTCATGAAATCTTGTGCCATTTCTTTCCATCCATTTCCATGCAGGGGTGTGTATACACCCCTTTTGTATGCAACTTGCCATTAGTCACTCAATAGCCCTCTCAAGGTTGACTGCAGCAGTATTACAGTGCTTGTGTTCTAGACAACCAGTTAACAGTGGACCAAAGCGCAAGAGTAGCAATGCTGGCAATTCTGACATGCCAAAAAAAAAATGCTATAAAGTGCTTCCTTTAAGTGAAAAAGTATGCATCTGTAGGGTAAAGAGTATGTTTGGGGTTCAGGACTATCAGCAGTTTCAGGTATCCACTGGAAAATATCCCCCCAAAATAAGAGGGGACTACTGTAATTGTTATCCAGATGTTCTTTGAATCACTTTTCTTTAATACCTTCTCAAGTAGGGTTTTTATTAAACCAAGCCAAATTTAAATTTCTATTAAAAATAGACTAGAGAAGAAGAATATTAAACACAGAATGACTGCGGGAACATAAAAAATACTAAAAAATATATATGGATGTACTTTAATGTGCATTATTGAGGGTGACAGGTGCTCCTGTCAACTGATCTCAATGACAGTTCTTACTAAGGGTTCTAATTTATATATTTTAAGGCTGGTGGCTGCATGGGGCTTTGACAGTGCTCTGCATGGGCTGCCCACACAAGAGCTTAATGTTTTCTGAGTCAGTGACACTCAGTACAAGGAGTATATTGTAAATGTGTTGAAATCTTATATTTTACAGAAGATTCCACAATTCCTTACACTCAACCTAGATGTTCAATCTCAGTTGTAGAATCTTGAACTGTATCCCAGAGTTTCACAGCCAGAATGTTATTACCCAAGGTAACCTGTTCTGGAATTTTGAAGGTCATTTTCTGACATCCCAAGATGAGAACAACAATTAAAATTCCAAAGCACTTATTCCCTTTGGTGAGGAAAGAAGAGGGTCACTCCTTTGTTCAAAACCTGGGAACTATGAGAGGTGAGCACATGAGGGTTTGAGAGCAGGAAGAGGGTGACTCTGCAGCGCTGTGGTTAAGCTGCTGGCACAGAGGTACACGGCCGAGTCCCGCTGCTCTGCACCCTGGATCTTCAGAGTGGAGGAGGAGCCATCAGACCTCTCAGCAGAGAACCGCTCTTTAGGCATCCCTGATCTGTCTGTGGCCTCCTTGCCTTGGAAGTAAATCAAAAACTCAGGGCCCTGCCCCAGTGTTTGTCGGTACCAATAAAGTGACAGGTGTCCAGAAATTGGATCACACGTGAGATTGACATTCTGTCCCCTCTTTGTGACTATGTGCTTGGGAGACTGGGACACTCCAGCATTGGTGTGACCTGTGGAGACAGATTTGGGAATAGAATTGAAGAAAAACAATTATAATAATCACACACACACACACACACACACACACACACACACACACACTCACACACACACACACACACATGCACACACACATACAAACACACACATACAAACACACACATACAAACACACCATAATGAAAGTGCTTGATATTTCTGAGGACTCACCTGCCCCCAGGAAACAGAGGCTCACCCAGCAGAGGAGCCTGGTACCCATGGCAGGGTGAGGACAGGAATGGGAGGTTACTTAGGTTAGAGTCCTTGTGAGCATGAGCAGGGGAGGAGGGACTTCCCTTGTCTGCACAAGGCAGTTCCCATAGTGACATCACTGAGCCTTAGGATTGCCTTAGGATTTCTTTTTATTCCTATTAAGAAAGAAAAAAATATTGTTGCTCATCATCAGAAATGTTAAAAGATGAAAATTACAAAACAAAGAATGAATGAGCAATAGTAATTCAAAAGTGAATGTAAGTCAACACTGATTGTTAGATTGCTTTGGTTGTCATCCCTCTGAGCTCCGGTGGTCTATTCCCCAGATCCCACACTCCCTATGTGGCCAGCCTTCTCATGTCTCTTGTTCCTCCACATTGTCAGTTGGACATATTCACTGCATTCAACGGCACTTGACAGTTGAGGACTAAAATGATGACTTTATCATCTTCTCTCTGAGCTCTCTTATTTCTAACCTTCATCCTGCATTTTGATGGTCCTTCCCAGGATTTGGGCAGCACTGGGATATGTAGGAAGGAAAAGGTGGGAAAGACGGTAGAATTGTCAAGTCTTTGCTCTTTGCCATGAAAGCAGTTTGAATTCACAGTTCAAAGCTGCTGGGGATGAAATGAAGTCTTTGCTCTTTGCCATGAAAAGAGTTTGAATTCACAGTTCAAAGCTGCTCTGGTGGGTACTGGTCTAAGTTGGTTAGATCCTCCTGTTGCAGGTCAAACAACAATACCCTCTATTATTAATTCATTTATCTACATACTGACTTTTGCCCTTAACTCCTTATCACAATACCTCCTGTGTTTACAAGTCAGTTCTAAGATAAATAAGTGTCACCAAATAACAAGAGAGTGGAGGCTCTGACCCCTCATTCTAGGTCTTGCCTGTGAATAATTCCCTTTTATCTGAAAAGGAAGGTAAATAAGTGCCCTCTAGTGCCAGCATTTCTAAACTCAATAGAAACAAGTTACATTTCCATAGGCTCTAGACATGTTCAGTTTGTGTTTTTAATACAAGTGACAGTAGAATTGCAATGTTGGTTGTGGGGTTACCCCAGGGTTGATGAACACGTCATAGCTTTCTCAAATAAGGTTATTACAAATAAGTGGAAATAAATGCTGTTGTCTCAGGAAGATATTCTCACTCCAGGACTTTTAGTGTTCTACTCTTTGAAATGAGTCTATTTTCAGTCTTTTCTGCCTAAGGAAAGGAAATTACATTAGTCTTCTTAAAATATATATAAGGGGGAGACATAAACTTCAATTATGAGAGAGAATCATTAATTGCCTGCCTCCTGCATGCACCCTACTGGGATGGAGCTCGCAACCTGGATGTGCCCTGACCAGGAATCCTACTGTGACCTCCTACTTCATAGGTCTATGCTCCACCACTGAGCCACAGTAGCTTCACCATTAGTTTTTAAAGCATTGATATTTCAGGCAAATCTGGGGCTTTGGTCTATTATTAGGCCATTCTAGACAATTCTATTGTTTCTATCCAGAGAGATACTCACAGTTCTTCAAAGACTAATACATGGCCTCTCTCTGTAAATGGAGCCTCTGCTGACAGGAACAGCTTTGCCAAGTAGCCACAAATGTTGAATGCGACTTTTCCTCTGCTTTACTTAATTACCAGAATATTCCTAATCAAGCAAATAACATTAAGTGGTATTTGCACTGACACATAAACATGTACACTGAAAGAACTCATCTGCCACAAGGAGACAAAGCATCACACAGAAGAGGTTCGAGCTCACGGCCAGGTCAGGGTGAGATGGGGCAGTCCCAGCTAAATGCTCTGACCCAGAGATGGAGAAGAAACTCAGGGGCCCTTTTCCAGTGGGCAGACAGATCTGCCTGGGATGTCACTGCCCCCCACTCCAGCAGAGGCTCTATGGCCCAGGATTAGTTTGAACTTGACTCAGGTTGAATCAGCAACTCCTCTCATAGATATAGCTCAGCAGGGCCTAATATGGAGAAATATGGTGTGTCTGTGATGCACTGAGTTTAGGGAACACCCCTCCTTTTGGATTCCCTCATTTCTCGGAGACAGTTACCTCTCTGTCTGCACCTGCCCCTGTTTCTATAACCATACCATCTTCTCAACAAGTCACATATGCTCAACCTTATCAATTTCTTAATCAAGGGTGGGCATCGGTTATTGTCTTGGCTTTGCCCAGAAATGCACTAGTATTTGGAGATATAAAAAATAAAATGACATCCTGGGAAAATATCTGAGTTGGAAGCTCCTATTCTTTCTGCAGATCACGACCAAGTGCCCTTTCTGTCTTCATTACCTTCCATGTGACATTATATCTCCTGAGCCCATAGCAAAGCCTTATGTCTGTCTAGGTCACCATGCAGTAAACAGTATGTTTCCTATAGCTTCTTTATGGAAGAGGACTCCACTTCATTGACCTTGAAGACACTAATGTGTAATATACAAGGGAGTCTAGGTGGATCTTGTTTTCCTATGACTTTCCACTCTGGATGCATCAGATTCAGGTTGATGAGGCAAAAACCTAGAGCTGGAGAAACACCTTCCCAGATCACAGGGCAGCTGCAGAGGACAGACTGACTGACAGCAACAGTGGGGAGTATGTGTCCAGTGTCCTGGGTCTGGTCCAAGCCTGGCAGACACTGCCCTGCAGGTAGACCTCAGTACTCTCTGAAGTTCACCCTGCAGGCACAGGCCACTGGGGGTTCCTTATTAGTTTGTGTAGGGCTCTGTGGAGACAGAATGCAGGGCTTCCCCCTGCCTTTTTGTGTAGAGAGGAGTCAGCCATGAACCACTGTGGATTCACTGGTGGCACAGAAATACACAGATGTCTGGGAGAGGGTGGCTGAGTCCAGCATGAGGGCACAGTTCTCTGTATTTGGCCTAGTGACACTGTATCCATCAGGGACATCTCCTTTTTCAATGCTGCCATCACCATATGAGTACTGGATCAGTCTCAGCCCATGACCCAGGTCTTGGCGATACCAGTACATAACGTTGTGGTTATCAGTCTGGTGACATCTGAGAGTCACATTCTTTTCTGTCCTGGTGACCTTGTATCTTGGGCTCTGGGTGATTCGGGCATCCAGGTTTCCTGTAAAGAGAGAGTCACAGACCTGATGTTGTCATCCTAAGATGAATATTTTGGCTGAGGTCTTGGGTTTCCAGGGCAGGAAGCCCATCTGTACTCACCTGCCCACAGGAGACAAAGAGCCACATAGAAGCAGAGTCTGGTGACCATTTCAGGGCAGAATCTCATGTCTTCCTGTTCTGTTTTGAGGAAATAGACACAGTGATGTCACTGTCCTTGACAAATGCTATTTCTGCAGTACTAGTCTGCCACACCCTTCCCCACTGGAGCAAATCAATTAACTTCTCAGTTACCACAGGAACCACCTTATGTCCAAGAAGTTTTTAAAGCTTCAAGATCAGGGTCGTTGGAATCTGAAGACTCGTTTTGCTTTGTCTCACAATTCACTGACTGATGGGAGCCCTGCCTTCCATGTTCAGATTTCTATAGTCTCCCTTGGTTTCAGCTGAGCCCACAGAAAACTTTTACCCAGCTCCCCATGACGATGCTTTTTGTTAAAGAGAGAGGCTTGTTAGCCAGGTGAATGAGATATTCAGCCGGAGGTACACATTTCTGATGCTTGCAAAATCACAAGAAAATGTTCTGTCTCCATTCAGAAGTCTTGCACTCACTCCCCCCGCCCTTCACCCCCCCCGCCACCCCCCCACACACATAGCATGGAAGAATATTGATTAAATCATAAATGAGCTATAGTGCTATGCTTGCAACTAGTCAATATCAGTATGAGCTGCTATTGCTTATACAGGTTATATCTCAGTGTGAGGTATCCCCATCTCTGTAACTGCATATACTGATGACATCTCGATGGGCAACTATAATCACACAACAGTGAGAAAGAATAAGGAAGCAAAAATCAGAGGCATGGAGAAAATTGATAACCATCACATAGAAAGACTGGCAGGTTGGTGCCTGATCAACCCAGGAAAGGCTTTTTTAGCTTATCTAGGACTTATCTGGTCTCCAAGGAAAAAGAGCCACACAGCAAAGGAGCCTGCATACCAGGCTGGATAAGTGCAAAATAGAATAAGTTTTTACTAAGACTCACATTGTTTGGGTTAGAGTACATGGAATCCTAGAGATCTAAAGACTGTTCTCACAATCAGATATCATCTATCCATATTGTTAGTATTCTTAATAGTATACCTAATTACTTTAGTAAGATAAGCATTTACCAGGAATAGCTCCTTTGTAATTTTCTTATAAATTAATAAATTAGAGTCATAAATTTGAAGTTGAATAAAAAAATATATGTCATCAGAAAGCTTTTTACTGGTCCTTGTGTTTTTGCATAGGTGTCTCCCAAGCTCCTAGATAGTGCCTGTACATGATAAATAGTGAAGGCTAGATGGGCTGTACAGACAATGAAGAATAATTACAGGCCTTCTCATTTGCACAGAAACTGTCCAAGACTTCTAGATATGTTCCTGTTTTCTTTTTAGAAAAGCACCCTAATTATAAGCATACATCCCCACCAAGCCCAAATGACCCTTTACCTGAGTTTAATTAGTGTTTGTTGAATGAAAGGAATGAATGGTTATTGGAGTCCAGGCAGACTCCACTTCTCTAAACATAACTCAGTCTAATCAGTCACAAGTATGTTCAGAACTTGAAAGGAGCAGAGACCCATGCGAGTCTGTTGGGAATTTTAAATAAACCAAAGTGAACTGGAAAAAATCCATTTATACCTTTGTTATAAAACTTTATCTTTATAAGACTTTTGGGATGATTGGATGGCAGAAGGTATGAAGCAAAAATGGCGGTTTTTTCCAAAGAGAAGAGACTTCTGATGAACATTTCCATCCAACATTGTCACTGTTTAGGCTGCCCCTGAAGGCCCATCTGAGATGAGGATTTAAATGCAAGTAGTTTATTTTGGAAATGATCTCAGGAAGCAGGAATAAGAGAGTAGG